GGGAATGCAAATATCCCTTATAGTTTCAATGGGCATTGTCATATATTCTTTTTTGAGAAATCTGGGGTCTATCAGACTCTAGATGACTCCTCTGCCCTTACATTATCTAATCAAACCAAGATCGGTGTGATCAGATGCTTTCCCAATTTACAAATGGCGCTGTTTATATCCTGTGAAACTGAAGTGATGAAATGTTCATAGCTTCCGATTTCTTAGACTATAGAGATGATTGGCATCATTCTGGTCTCCAATCTGCTCTATGGTCAGCTGGCAGAAACACCGGCTGTGTTCTCAGGTTCCCCCCGATGGCACGGGACTGTTCGAGAAGGCTGTGGAAGGCAGCGGGGGAGGGAGGAAATTATCTCCTGCTGCTTGTAAAAGCAATCCTGCAGCTAATTAGCCACTAGGATTGCTTTTACATGAAAGCGGATTGCCGGCTGAAAAAAAATGATACCAGGATGATGCCTGCAGCTGTAGGCATCATCCTGGTATAACCATTCAATCTCCTTGGGTATATATGCTATGCCTGTGAGCTGAATGAAAAAAAGAGAAGAAATCTCTGTCAGAAAAAGTGTGTGGTATGCCCACCATTAGAATATACCACCCTGTATCCACCCACTTCTAATAGTGAGCACACATTAAGTCTCACTGTGCCACATGCGCCAGTTCCAAGATTGTACAAATATCTAAATAGTGGTACTCTTGAATAAAAATTGTCCACGTATACGTGGTACCCCATATGGAAAAAGGATGACATCAAGTCCCAAACTATCTTGCCACTACTCCCCATGTAGTCTGGGCATCTGGGGGGCTCCACGTGACTATCTTTTCCCTCGTAAATCTGAAACTTATAAGTATAGCCTGTTGCCCTCTCACAGGTCTTCTACATCTTGACCCCATATCTGGCACGCTTGCTGGGGAGGAATTTATTGAATGAAAGAAAAATTGAATGAGGGACTCGTCAATGCAGATTTTTTGCTGGGGAGTATAGACATCTGCAAATTTTTGGTTAAGGAGATTTACAAGGGTCTGGATTTTTTGGAACCAGTCAAATTCAGGGTCACTCCGAGAACGACAGAGTGTATTGTCGTTGAAATGCATAAAACACATTATACTCTCATATCTATGCCTGGCCATGGCAGCAGAGAACACGAGCATATGAATCTGGTCTGTGGACCAATACAACCGCAATTCATTTTTTTTAGTATTGTCCATGTTGAGGGTTAGGTCCAAAAAAATTTAAATTCGGAAGCCGTAATGGGTTTCCATGCGAATGGTCTGGCAAGGTTTGAATCTGGGCTGGCAGTGATAAATTGTTGTGCATATAAATTGCTTTGATCCACAATCAATGCATACAGATCTTCTGTGAAAAACAACTCCAAAAAATCAAGGGGAGTAGTTAAATTTTCTGATTCCACCTGAATTCCGGGTTGGGCAGTGAATGGGAGAAGTACGGGTGCTGCAGAATTTGTGGGCTGCCATTCGGGATTTGTAAGCACATCTGGAAGGATACTAGGGGCTCTATGGGCCTGTGTGTGAATTCTTGGTGGTTGCAGGACAATACTTGTGCTCACCAATGCACCAGCTTGTACTACACTTATGGGACTCGCCATGTCACCAAGTAATACTGCAGTGCTGGTATGTGAAAGACCAGAATGTACTAGGCCGCTGGTGCTCGCCAGTTCACCAAAAGGTAGCGTGTCACTAGTACTGGCACTCTGCTGCATATGAGAGTCATCAAAATTTACCGGCAAGTGCTAACAGAGATCAGACCTGATTCTGCCAACACTGCGGTTTGGTGTACAATGCATCAAGTGACAGTGACCTACTGACACTGCACTTGCTGGGGGAGAAGGGGGGGCGTAAGCGTAAGGGCTAAACACAGGTGCTGGCAGGTGCTGGGGCTGATCCTGATAACGCTGCATTTTAGGGGACGCTATACTAATGTGAACGCCGGTATATTGCTGATCTGATCAAAGATATTGATCCGTTCAGACACTGTACTAGCAATGGAGGTTTATTGTATAAGAGTGTGTTCCTGGCAATCAAGGGGTTAAATGTGATTACTGGTGTACTGATGGGCAATCTGACGCTATCTGGGAGGAGTATGAAAACCACATGTATATATCATATATGTGTGTGTGATTTTGCGCGCCCGTGCCGCCCTGTAGCAGTTTTTTCTGCTATAGGGCAGTCAGGAAGCGGTTACAGAAGCGGTTTATGTTATGGCACTGCGTTACTTTAACTGACAATTGCGCGGTCATGCAATGCTGCACCCAAATGAAATTTACGTCCTTTTTTCCCCACGAATTGAGCTTTCTTTCAGTGGTAGTTGATCACCTGTGCGTTTTTTTTTTATTTTTTGCGCTATAAAAAAACCCGCAATTTTGAGAAAAAAAACAATATTTTGGACTTTTTGCTATAAAACATGTCAAGTAAAAATCAAATTTCGTCAACAATTTCACCCCAAAAAGTATTCTGCGACATGTCTTTGCTAAAAAAAAATCACAATACGTGTAAATTAATTGCTTTACGTGAAAGTTATAGCGTTTACAAATGGACGGTATAGATACTGGGTTTTTTTCTTATACTAATAGCAGCGATCAGAGACTTATGGCGGCAATCAGAGACTTATGGCGGGACTGCAGCGGACATTCTGACACTGGGGGGAACTGACTTGGGATCACTGAAATCCCCAGTGACACCAATACAGTGATCAGTGCAAAAAAAAATCACTGACACTGTATTAATGGCACTGAGGAGGAAGGGGTTAACATTAAAATCAAAAGGGTTAACTGTGTGAGGGGAGTGTTTTACTAGGGGGTGGAGGGGTGTGTTCTTCACTGTTACACACTGATCCGGAAAGCTGAACTCAGAAATGTATTTATTATTTATTTATTTCAGGTACTTGTGTAGCGCCGTCAATTTACGCAGTGCTTTACATATCTATATTGTACATTCACGTCAATCCCTCACCCTCAAGGGGCGTACAATCTAATCTGGAACCGTGTGCTGAAAACTGACAGGGAAGAAGCTCCAATGAAAACAATGCAGCTGTGCTCCCTGTCAGTGTTTGCCAGCAATCGTCGGGCTCCGGCAGGTAATTACTGGCCAGGACCCGGTAATTGATACCTCGGCCACGATCGGTACCGCGGTTAGGGCTGTTGTGCGTCTCGCACGCACCCCCTACCCTGAAATCAGGATGACTTTTATAAACGTGATCCTGCGCACAGGGGCCACTTTGCCGCAATATATTTACTGTGGGCAGTCCCCTAGTGGTTAATAACGCTGGTAACATTAGCTGTGTAATGTAATTTTTTTAGCGTTTTTGCACTAGCGTTTAGTTTTTTTTCGCGTTTGCGTTTTTAGTGCTTTTTGCTCAAAAATGTCCCAAAACGCCAGTTTGTCACGATTTACTGTGTTTTGCAGCATTAGAATGTTTTTACAGCTAAAAAAAACTCCTCTAGAAACCCACTAGTTCTGGGGGTTTTTCCAGACATAAAACGCTCCTGCCAAAAAACTGATTGTAGTCTAATGTGTGAATGAACACATAGGATAACATGCTGGGGAGTGTATTGGCTGTAGTAAAAACACCAAAAGCCAAAAACAGCCACTGTAAAAAGTCCAGTGTGCATGAGGACTAAGCCACTTACAACAGACTGCGACAGCCCAAAGGTAACATCCAGTATCTAATCAAAGAACAATCTCTTAAGAACACTAGCCAGTGTTCCCTTTTTTGAGACCCATGCTGACAATCAAATCCCAGGGGAGGTAGCAAGCACACAGCGTCCCCAAGTTCCTCAGAAACCCTCCAGTGATACCGGGGAGAGCCTTGGCAGATAACTCCCCTTAATCAGCTACCTGCAAAACCAGGGTCTCTTTCTCTAGCTTCAGGCCCTCAAAACAACCCATCTGGGGCCACATGGCAGCATGTGCCAGGCGAGGCAGCTTGCCTCCAGCCTGGCTGGTGCAATCCGCTCCCGGGAAAGACACTGAACCTATGTACTCTCAGAATATAAATACCATTCCTAGCATGCAATGCGACTGCCTTCCCCTGCAATTGGCCAGGGCTGTATCCATATTCATGCTGTTCATTTGCCTAGCCCTTTCCCATGTTCTGGAAGGCTCCCATAGCTTCCTGAAGGTGGTCAGAACTAAGGCTGGCCATACATTATACAATTATCTGGAGATTTTTGGTTTAGATTTACCAAAAACCATATAATAGGAGGACAAACCTAAACAACACTTTCAGTTGTATCCAATTAGGCAGGTCCTTGCACTACACAGTTATTATTATACAGTATTTATAAAGCGCCAATAGTTCGCTCAGCGCTGTTGTACATTACAGAGGGGGACAGAACATGTGACAGAACAATACCAATACAATGCAAAACATGAGGGGATTGAGGGCCCTGCTCTTTCGAGCTTACAATCTAGTTGAAGGTAAATCTAAAGGAAATTGGGCAGAAAATTGGAAGATAATTGTATAATGTATGGCCAGCCTAAGACAAACTCCAACAGCGCTAGAGAAGCATGAGCAGACCTAACTAATCAATCACAGCATTCTGTTGACCACTGGCCTACAGGGCACTTATACCCCCTTCCTCCCCAGGCCAATTTCCAGCTCTCAGCGCTGTCACACTTTGAATGACAATTGCGCGGTCATGCAACACTGTACCCATATGAAATTTTTAGCATTTTTTTGTGACAGATAGAGCTTTATTTTGGTGGTATTTAATCACCTCTGGAATTTTTATTTTTTCTTAAACAAACCAAAAACCAATGAAAATTTAAAAAAAAAGTTTTTTCTTAGTTTTTGTTGTAAAACTTTGTAAATAAGTGATTTTTCTCCTTCATTGATGATGTGCGCTAATGAGGCTGCAGTGATGGGCACAGATAGGCTGCAGTGATGGACACTGATAGGTGGCACTGATGGGCACTGATGAGGAGGCACTGGTAGGTGGCACTGATGGGCATTGACAGGCATCACTGAACGGCAGCACTGATAGGCGGCACTGACTGGCACTGACGGGTACTGATGCATACTGATAAGCGGCACTGACTGGCACTGATAAGCGGCACTGACTGGCACTGATAGGTGGCACTGATTGGCATCACTGATAGGTGGCACTGATTGGCTTGATAGGTGGCACTGACTGGCACTGATGGGTGACACTGAAAGGCAGCTCAGATGGGCACTGATATGTGGCATTGATGTGCACTGGTAGGCACTGATATGTGGCATTGATGTGGCACTGGCAAGTAGCACTGTTCAGCACTGGCAGCTGGCACTGATGGACACTGACAGGTGGCATTTCTGGGGCAACACTGATCATCAGGGCACACTGATCATCAGTGCTCTGATGATCAGTGTATATGTCCCCTCCGCGGAATGCCGATTACCGGCTCTCCTCTCGAGCTGTCAGCGTGACAGCTTGTGAGGAGAGAAATGCCGATAACCGGCATTTCCCTGTTTACATGTGATCAGCTGTGATTGGACACAGCTGATCACATGACCAAGCCAACATCTTCGGCTCTTTCCGTAGATCGGTGATCCGCTGTGTCGCCGATCGCCGCTCTGCGCGCTCCCTGAGCCTCGCATGCGCAGGGAGAATGGGAGGACGTCATATGACGTCCTCCCAGAACAAGAGAACCACCTTGCGCCCATCATTGAACTATATGACGTGTGGGAGGTAGTTAAGCAGAATGCCACCCTGAATTTACCTGACAGCATCTCTGGTAAGCAGAGAAACACAGCTATGCTTAACCTAACTTTACATATCCTAGCACCTGACTTGGAGGGTGCTACATATGTAAAATGATTAAATGTAAACATTTAATAATGCATTCATAATTATAGAGCTGCAATAATTTGTTTCATTCATATCTGCCTAGAGTAAGTTTTAAATGCTGATATTCACCCCATGTCTAAAATGCAGAAAACTCCAAAAGGTGAATGATTACTCCTACAAACATGAATGCTCTTAAGCACAAGCTCTGATATAATTATATTTCTGTTTGTACTGAACTGATAATCTTTTCTTACCATCCAAATGAGGGCAATATGAATTTTCTAACATATATAAATGCCAATACCAATAGCAAATGTCTGTTTCGTAATTGTTCTAATTCTTGCCATTGCTCTCATATTTATTCAGCCGCAAAGTGGCAGAGGAGAATCTGCTGCTCCATTAGGAATGTTTAAATAAACCCAAAACAACATCTCTATTTCAGTCAAGGTCTATGAATCAAAACTGTGTTTTATTTCCTAAAATGGGACAGGACACGTTTTGTGGCAATGATTCATTTCTAAACTGTGGGGGCAGGATATAATAAGTATTCATTTAATGTGAAGAAATGTGATCACATTAGGGTACATAACTGTGGGTTCATTTAGAATTGGTTTTCATTTATTTGCAGAGAAATCAGAACTGTGTTCTTTTTTACATTTTTCAGACAACTTTGTGGTTGGCAAAAAGCAATCTTCAGAATTATATATGTAAGAAAATGGGGGTGATTAAACATATTAAAATATGGACTTTAATAAATCAATATTAATAATCAGCACCCACTTCTCATTCCAACCAATAAAGAGTATGCCACTCAGGTGAGTATACTCACTCAAGTCCCAATGCCGGTGCTCGTCCTGTGTATGTAAGAGACTGTATGTAAGGGCAGTGGTGTGACACCGCATTTATCACAAAGGTTACATACTAGAGTCATGGGTATTACTTAAAGTCCATGTTTTGTGTTCCTGAGGTCCATTCTTGTAGGAAAAATGCATAAAAATTATAGCTTAGAATTGTAAGTAATAAGTGACCCCATTCAATGCACATCTCACGAGGAATGTCAATACACTGAAATAATATGATATTTCTAAAAAGAAGAGTGAAAAAAAAACAGAGTGGTACAGGGGCGGACTGACAACTCATGGGGCCCCTGGGCAATAATGGATCATGGGGCCCCTGTGTGCTTTCCCAAACTCAAAAAAGCCTATGAAAAAGGTACCAGGGGCATCTCATGGGGCCCCCTACTGACCCCGGGCCCTCGGGCAGTGCCCGAGTTTCCAAATGGTCAGTCCGCCCCTGGCGTGGTAATATAAAGCAACTAGATTTTATCATGCTTAAACTATGTCAATGGAAGAATAATTCTAGCTAGTTGCTAAATTCAACTATATGTAGCACGTTGGAATTTGATTTATGAAATAAGCCTGTGGAGTTGATTTACTAAAACTGGAGAGTGCAAAATCTGATGCAGTTCTGCATAGAAACCAATCCGCTTCCAGGTTTTATTGCCAAAGCTTACATGAACAAGTTGAAGTTAGAAGCTGATTGGCTACCATGCACAGCTGCACCAGATTTTGCACTCTTCAGTTCTAGTAAATCAACCCCTTTAAGAGAACTGCTTGTGTTACCCAAACAACCTAGGTAGATCCCAGCCATTATTAGAGTAAGTTATTAACTCTGTCTGCAGTTAGTACAGGTAATGAGTGTGTGTGTGTTCCAATATTCCAGGTGCATACAGGTGGCTTTGTATACTGTCTTGCTGTAGATGTAAGCAAACGTTAGCATCTGTTCTGAATAGCATAAAGCACATAATGTAATTCCCTTCCAACACTTTGATATTTTAGTGTCAGCAATAAACCATGTATGGATGGGGACACCCAATAAATGTCAAAGCAGGTTTGTCTTGCACTTTTATTCAGCAATGCTGTAAGCAAACGCAGTTCCATAAAGGAGGGTTTTTTACATTTGGTCTATACCATAAAACAAGCAAAACATCTGGTCTTGGTCTAGTGTGCCCATCACCAGCATGTGGAATGTAATGCATCTGTATGACTCGACCATACTGTTAGCCGCAGGATATCCATGACCGTGAATATGTGGTCCAATGATCATGGGCAGGGATACTAGATATTTTTCAAGGTACTTTTGGACAGTCTAGGCTGAGAAGACACTACTTGCAGTTCCCCAGGCCCTGGCTGAGAGGTGATTGCTCACATGCCATCTTCTGTCAGGCAAGGTCATGTATGACAATGGCATTGACCTACTGGTCACCCTTCATCAGTGAAAAAGGAAACATTACTGGCAATTTTTGCTGGCTGATAGCTAAAAAGAATGGGAAATTTGAGTGGAGAGTGAAAAAAGTTTTACTTTTGACTGCTTGTGATTGCTGGTGCTTGTAGTTGTTCTATTTTCTTCTTTTGGGTCTTGCTAAAAGCTTTTACTTTTTTAAATCACCTTTTCTGTCACTTTTTAAATAACATTTTTTTTCTTCCTTTCCTTGCCTTCCTTCAGGCTGCTAATTAAGGGGAGGGGTGAATTGGTCACAGGTGCTCCAGGTACTTTATAACTTGCTGTAGAGCTCACTCTGAGCTTGCCTGTATTTTGCTTGCTGGATCTTTGATAAAGTGGACATTTGATAAGTGGAGTTAAAAAGTGGAAAACAGGAGGTCATAACAGAAGTCTACTAACCTGTAAGTGACAGCTGATATTTCCTATTAGAAATATTAATATTGTAACTGGGATGTGAGTGCTAGCAGGATTGAAGGTTTTGTGCAGTGCACAGTGTGCAACAATGGAGCAACAGCTCCAGGATGGATACCACTGCAACAAATGTGAGCGGATTACTCTTCTGGAAGCTCATTTTTGAGATCTGGAGGAGCAAGTTGCAACACTGGTCAGAACCAACAACTTTGAAAGGGGTCTTCTGCTTTCTGAGCAGGTAGCTAATGGGCTTGATGTGGAGGGGCTAATCAGGATTATCAGGTAGGAAGATGGGTTACTGACGTGAAAGGGAGTGGTAGGAGCTCACAGAAAAAGGCCAGCCCTGGGTTTGTGCACCCAAACAGATTTGCAAAGTTGGGTGAAGATGTGGTGGTGGCAAGCTCAGGTGTGGCAGCCCTGGAGGTCACTGCTATCCCTAACAGCTGGGAGAGCAGACCATCTGGGAGGGTTGGTAAAGGTAGTGCAGGAAGGCCTAGGCAGTTGGAGGTAGTAGTGGATTCTATAATTAGAAGAAATGATAGAATAATTTGTTGCCAGGATCGCCTCAGCCAAATGGTTTGCTGTCTCCCTGGTGCCAGGGTTTGGCATGTGGTGGACCAGGTTGATAAATTACTGGGAGAGGCTGGGCATGACCCAGCTGTCTTGGTTCAGGTTGGAACCAGTGACCAAATACATGGAAGGTGGAGGCTCCTTAAGAATCAATTTAAGAACTAGGCTGCAAGTTTAAGGGAAGGACCTCCAAGGTGATATTCTCTGAAATATTACCTGTGCCATGCGCAACTCAGGAAAGACAGGGAGAGATAAGGGAACTCAATGCATGGCTGAAGACCTGGTGTAAGAGGGAAGAACTTGGGTTTCTAGAGCACTGGGCTGACTTTTCATTGGGTTGCAGCCTATATGCTAGAGGTGGTTTGCACCTAAATAGAAGGGGGTCTGCTGTGCTGGGGGAGAGGTTTATGGGGAAGCTAGAGGAGTATTTAAACTTGGATCGAGGAGGGAGGGAGAATTAGATTATAATGGGGTAGACAGATCAGACAGGGGTCAGTTCATATTGGTGGGTGGAATGGGGAAAGATGGGGGGAGGGCTATGGCAGATGATAAGAAGGTTCCCATGTTACAAAAAAAAACATTGGAATTGGTACCATTTGTATGAAAATAAAAAATATGCAAAATACAAGGTGTCAATTAATTAAAGTGTTTGTTCACCAATGGCAGAAGTCTGCCAAGCAAAATAGGTGAATTGGAAGATTTGGTGCATGAACAGAACTATGATTTAATTGGTATTGCTGAATCTTGGCTTCATTCTTCACATGACTGGGCCATTAATATTCCTGGCTATGTTCTCTTTCGGAGAGACAGAGTAAATAGGAAAGGTGGTGGTGTTTGTATGTGAGAAGTGATCTCAGAGCGAGTGTGAAAGAGGACCTAGTTGGTGGAGAGTGTGAGGAAGCTGAAGCATTATGGGTGGAACTGGACATGGGGTTCATACTACAAAGGAAATCATTGGAGTTTAGCAGAAAAGAACAAAACAGGGCCCAATCTCCTCGTGCATTACAGTGATAATATGAAATTTATTATAAAATACAAATGCATACTCACAAGCCAAAAAGTAATAAAAACAGATACAAGGAGCCAAAGGATGCCAATCATGGACAGCATAGGTTCTTGAGTAAGGGGCTAACGCGTTTTGGGAGTCGAAACTCTGAGGAAGGGAGTTTGACTTCCGAAATGCATTAGTAGTTTACCCGAAGGCCTGTGCTGTCCATGACTGGCATCCTTTGACTCCTTGTCTCTGTTTTTATGACTTTTTTGGCTTGTGAGTATGCATTTGTATTTTTATAATTTCATATTATCACGGGAATGCACAAGGAGAGTGCGCCCTGTTTTTTTTCTTTTCTGCTGGTATTGAGATTCCCCGATCTACCAAGGGCGGAACCTCAAAGTGCTGGATTCCATATTTTGGGTGCAGCAAGAGAGATTTGAGCGCTGGTTTCTGGTTACTGTTGAATCATTAAAATTTTTTATAGGC